TACGACTTAGGGACCTTCAAGAAAAGAGCTTACACCTTTCTAAAAGGCCGGCAACGCATCTGCAATTCCCCTGGTGTTGCGGTTGTTCATTGGCGGCGGTAGTCACTTACCATCAGGTGAGCCGCACGCTCGTTTGCCCCCTATTCTATAAAAAAAAAACATATATATAAAAAATATAAAAAACTTCATTTATTTTGCCAATTATTTAACCAAAATATAAATATTTATATTTTTCTCAGTGGCCGCATCAATTACATTTTAAAAGTAGCATTTGCTATGCTACTTTTAAAATGTAATTGAAAATTAAGGATTTTAGGAATGAATTATAATTATTTTTAAAGAGCAATTCTATTCTTTACTTTAGTAATACATATCTTAGCGGTAAAGTGGGAAATTTTTGAGAAAGCTATACTTTGAACAAAAAACCGATAAATGATAAAAATGTTTCATATTTCGTGACAGATTGCGCAGAAACTATAAGTGATATCGCTTTTGTATGTATGAGGGATTAAATTTATCAAGGATAATTTCGTACCTGCACACTTTTCATGTATCTTGGTCGGTTTTCTTTAAAACTGGATAAAATCGCGCCTCAGGACACTTTCTGGGGCGGGGGAACCACTCACCCGGGAAGGAGAGGAGAATGGATAAAATTTAACTTCGCTCCATAAAGTACATATATTGATAGATAAAAGTACTCCATAAATATTGTTGTCCTAAAACTGGGAGCCCAACAGGAATTTCGTTTTTTTTTTCAACAATTTTAGTGCTTCGTACATTTTTGAAAGATAATTGCCACATTTTTCTTGACATACGGAATAAAATGACTGCCAGCACCTGTGATTTCTAGTAAGGCGTTGACTACACCTGCAGCTTTTCAAGATACGAATGCTAGCGCAATATGTTTAATTATTAATTAAATTATAACCTTAAACACACAGATAAAATCCTTGTATTTTTGTTTATTGAAAACAACAATACCTACAACCGCTTGAAGAATTTGACTAGTGGAAGACGTAACCCTTACTAAATGTACTTATCTAAACCGCAATAATAAATAATGGTTGAATTGACGACGTTGATGCATAGTGTGGCTGGGCGGGCGGTTTCACTTGGTGAGAGAGAAAACGAAACAGCATGAATGAATCTGTATCTCGCCAACACAATACGCGTAAAATTTAAAACTTTGATCTTAAGGGGCTACTCCATGCGAACGACCTGGAGCATTTGGCCGGCGGCGCGCCGCTCGCTTCAATATATTGCTTATGAAATATGTAAGAAGCCACCTATTGTAGGTACGAACGTAGTATAATTTTTTCAACATCAATAAACTAATTTATGGAAATACACACAGCGCACAACGATAAATGTATTTTAAGTTTTTTATTCGGTAATTCGGTATATTAGTTGCATTATTATTATCTAATTATGAAATTTTATAATTAATTATATATTAAAAATGAAGCATTGAAAATTGTGAGTTTAAAAGATACCTATTCACTATGGGTAAATAAATAGATAGCTCGCCTTTTGTACAAATATTTGGAGCAATAAAGAATAAATAAATAAATAGGATGTTTCGCAGATGTGTTTTTGATTATTGTTAATTTATACGTGTCACGTATTGAAAAGTAATATACCTACCTACTAATTTTTGAACTGAGCACCTTGTAACTTAGCCTGCTTATTACTTATGCTGGAAGACATTATCCTCACCCCAATGATTGATGAGGATGAAAATCAATTTTATTTCTACATACGTAATTATATTTATTTATACATAAGGGTAACTTTAATAAAGGTAATACAAAAATCAACAAGAAGTTCAATCTTTCAATTTCAATTGTAAAAAAACGTTACTACACTAGGATTTTCTCCTGTGTCGTGGAGGCAGTTTAAAAACATAAATTGCACAAGGACAAACATCCAGGCCCGGAAGAATTATTTGTAGGCCATACAAATACTTGTTCCGTGCGGGATTCGAACCCGCGGGCCCCAGCGCAACAACTGATTGTTAAGCCACTGCGCCACGGAGCCGTCGCCGGGTTATAGCTAAAGTGACCATACGTTCCGTTTTGAACGGGACTGTCCTTTTTCTCGGTCACCTGTCCCATTGTCCCCAAACAAAACTCCGGGACACAAAATTGTCCCGTAACTCGTTGGATGGAAGTATTCAAAGTCAACAATCTTCTATAATTATATTAAGAATTATTTTATGTCTACCTGGTACAAATGCTCAGGTAGAAAGAGTACTTTTTTATTTTGAATAAATTGTGGACGTCTGAAAGAAACACTTACGGTTCCAGTTCTAAAGGAGATATTGTTAACAAAGATAACAATAAAAAAACTTGAGCAGAATTTTATTCTCATTTAAAATCATCACCAACTTTATTAAAGCAAATGTAATCCAGTGACAAATGTAATTAATAATAATAAAAAATATGTTGCATTTAATAATTATAATAATAATGTCCTCCCGACCGAATTTCGGTCACGGCGGCCAGCCTCAACGGAGACTAGCCATCTGCGCAGGACAGGATTATAGTGCCCGAGTGTATGCGCAAGCACAGGTGCACTCTCTATTCCCTCACTCTCATAGTCCGATGGGACGGTAAACCGACACGACCGGAGAGAGATTAGGCGCAGGACCAACGGCTTAACGTGCTTTCCGAGGCACGGGGGTGAGACACCGCCAACTTCCTGACTCCGGGCAGCTACTGAGAATTTCTTGATAGAAAAACTCAATAACTGATTTTTTTGGCCCGACCCGGGATTCGAACCCGGGACCTCATGATCAGCAGTCGCACTACTACAAACACTAGACCAACGAGGCAGTCAAGTCAATTTAATAATTACCGTCTATACCTAATATAATTTTATAGTGAATACTAATTGTATAAAGTTATAGTTTTTAGAGTATAAATAAACGCATGTCCTGTTTTGAGTTAAAAAATAAATGGTCAGTTTAGTCTTTTTAGTTAAATTTAGTTTTAAAAAATTTTAGTTTATAGTAAAAAGTAGGTATATTAGTACCTACTTAGATACTTTTTACCGAATTATAAGTATAGAACACCTTATGTACTCAATTATTTTTTTAAAAAGAAAATCTGGCAATAAATAATATACTATATTTTAGCAAAAAACTATAACTTAGTAATACTAATTATAACTTAGAACATAAATGAAAAACTCATAACTGACTTTTTGGCCCGACCCAGGATTCGAACCCGGGACCTCATGATCAGCAGTCACACTACTACAACCACTAGACCAACGAGGCACGAGGCAGAGACCAACGAGATATTATGGTTGGGTATTAGGATTATTTTTAACTGTATACTATACTGATAATATTGAATTAGCATTTTATTGTGTAAATTATAATATTTGTCGAAATGTTACTATACCTTTGATGGGGTCCTGAAATTTAGCATGTTGCAATTCAATTGTTTTCGGTCGAAGGAGCCCCGGGCTCTTGTTTCTGGATGGTTTATAAAAAAATAACCATGAAGGGGATGGAGGGGTCTGTTCGCTCGGTTAGCTCACTCACTCGACCCCGCCATCCCCTTCTAATCTAACCTGTCTGAGTCGGGGTGCCCCAAGTCCCGAGCTCGCTTCGCTCGCTCTTGCACCAAATAAACCACCAGAATGTTAACTTTTATAATTACTTTAATAAGTAAACATATTTTATAACTTCCAACATTTCCAAAATCATCGTAAAATAGCAAGCAATCGGTCTCCAGTGGGGTAGCAAAGTTGCATGGGGGCACTTGAGATAATCCCCCTTGACCCCCCCCCCCCACCAGAGTGATAGACTCCTCAAATTCAGGCGACTTGATTCTAAACCCAACCCATTGGACAGCCTGGACCTCCAGCGGTGCAATTCAATAACTACTTTTGACTAACAATATATTCAAATTTGTCAACAAATTACATATTAAAAACTATTTTTTATCTGGCTTTATCTATCAACAAACCTTTTCATAAATATGAACCGGTTATATAATTGGCAATACAGTAAATTAATTAAAAATAAATAATGCACACAGCAGTACTAGACTTTGTGGGAATTTGACAACTTAGTGGATATGGGTCAACTCTTTTTTATTTATGGTTATGATTTTTTGATGAATTTTGTACCAATGACCTTTAAAATATTTACAAAAAAGGGCTGGAAAAATCACAATTCTAGAAAGTGACAACTACTGGCCGCACATTCGCCATGTCTCTCTCATACTTTCCAGTCAGTATCTGTGCACAACTGACTATGGAACACACAGTCTTCTCTATGTCTATAGTTAATAGATACACTAAAAATCATGGTAACATTTGACTAACAAACTTTGAACTTTTGATGTCAAAAAATTAAGTATTCATTTCATTTCATTATAAAATAGAAAGATATACATCAACTTCTAAAAGAATCCATTTTAAATTATAATAACAGAAAGTAGTATATTTATGAAACGCCTATTAGCGCTTATGGTTCACTACATCGTTATAAATACATATCTGCAAAAATGCACGAGCGATGCCGCTTTATAGCGAGAAAATTAAGTACTTAAATAGCTTAAAATTAATCGCAGCGCAAAAGCGGCCCTCGCCATTAATATTATAATAATACGCCAGCAACGCATTTTTGATCCTTGTCACCACTTAAATTATGCATGCTAACGAATAAAATAAATCAATAGTATGCGAAGTTCGCCATTATAAACGCGCAGCTTGATTTTTCTGGATAAGAATTAACAATTGTTATGAAATTGCTTGCATCTTTAAATCTTTTTAACGAAACGTATATAAAATGAAATAATAATTCAAGTTCTTAATTTGTCGAATCTCTGAGACACTTCGGGTGATTTTAAATAAATTCCTTACCTTGTCATTGCTTGCATCTTTAAATCTTTTTAACGAAACGTATATAAAATGAAATAATAATTCAAGTTCTTAGTTTGTCGAATCTCTGAGACACTTCGGGTGATTTTAAATAAATTCCTTACCTTGTCATTGTAGACATGGGTGATCAAAATTCACGACAAAGAACTCTCATGTAGAAAGCCACCTAAAGCCACCAACAGTTATGCACAGGTATGTATGGAATATGGAAGATATTGATTAGTTATGCGCAATGAGCAGTACAGCAACGTATAGACAGTTATGGAAACGTCTATTTACTTTATAACGTATAGATAGTTATACATAACGCTCATAACTATCTATTTCTTATAACGATCCGCAACGCACAGACTTGCTACATATATATTTATCTATGCGCACAGAGTACCTTTGTACCGCAACGATGCAACGTGAACATAGACATAGTATCTTATAGACTAAACATTCAGTGAAGTCATCAGCGTGTGAAAGGAATGCACGTATATAGTTAGACATAAGAGTAAGGGGGAAGCAAATCTATATTTCTTGTCTTTTTCTAGGTATGCGTTTTTGATTGTTTTCCCTCCTTCATTTGACATTAACGATGTCAAGCTCTTTTGAATAATATTGATATTATAAGCAAACAGATAATTGAATTTAGTGTTTTTTGTGGGTCTTAGTTATTAGGTAAGGTGAAAAAGATGGTTAGTTGTAGCATATTAGGATGCAACAGCATCAGTCAACGAAAAATTGATAATATTACCTTTCATCGGTAAGTTTGTTTTGTGCTTACAATTGCTACTTGTACTGATTAATATCTATTGTTTTGAATATAAAGTGTAACATTTCATGTTTTTAATAAACTTTGTGATGTATTTTGTCAAATATTTGGACTCCCAAATTGTAAATTCTTCATGATAATGCTCCTTAATTTGAACGGTCATTCGAAAGCTTAAAGTCATAACAAATGTGTACTTTTTGATTTGGTAGGATTATAGAAACTTTAGGGATATCAGCGAGTACAATAATGTTTTCGCATTGTTCAATAATAATTGTTATTGTGATTAGTAGTTATGTCCATAAATATGGATCACATAATGTTATACATATACATACACTTTTATATTCAGCTTTAAAGGAAACTCCTTATTGCCATACAACTCTTCAATCATTTTCCATATTACATAGACGTCACAAATAATATGTAAGTATCAACCTGATAACACGTTTGGATTCAAGTACATAAATATTGTGCAAAGTATATTTAATATCACAAAATATGTATTGCCTGAAATCAGATGCACAAAACTTTATTTCATTCCATTAATTCTATTATACATTAGCAACAATTACATTACAATATTTATTAAAAAAAATATGTCATGCTAATATAAAAATAAATATAAATATAGATAAAATAATAAATAAATAAGTCTTAATCTTAAGGTACACAATAACTCAACAACATAAGATAATATTCTCAATTAATGATGTAGAAAAAATTTGATGATAATATACTTACCGTTACCATTAGTCAGTATCAAAAGTCAAAAGTTATAGGTTTTGTGATAGTTGCCTAGCTTGGCAGGAGAATTGGCAACTGCAGTTATTTGAAGACAAACTGTGGGAGGTCTATGTTCAGTGGTGGAGGACATTTGTTAGGCTGTAAATGTATTAATTAACAATATCTAAAGCTTAATATGTACATAATTTTTTTAAATGTTTGGTATGAATAATATTATCATTACATTTACATATACTTGTTATTTAATTCAATCAATTGATATTGTTTTAATTGTTATAGGTATTGTATTTATGCACAGATACACATACTTGATTTTTTTCGTTAAATACCTTGATATAAAAGTGTACTATATATTTAATATATTAATTTCTTTTAAATATATTATTTCACAGCTTTCCTAAGGAATCAGCTATCCGTAACTGTTGGATAATCGCTACTGGTAGTGATTATAGGTAACCAACAAAACTTAGCCGTGTATGCTCAAAACATTTTAAGCCTCATTGTTTTAGATGGACTAAATATGCTTAACTTATGTAATTTATAATATAATTAAGATAATTTTTTTAATGTTATAATTTCTTGTTGTATGTTGTAGTTACTCCATAAGTGATATAAGTTTGATCTTGTTGGTAGTTATGATTTTTGACATTGTTCTGTATGTATTAAAAATTGACTAGCATTGCTTATTTTATTTTCAAATGCTGACATTCTGTATTATTATGACTTGTAATAATTGGGTGGCATGACAATGACAAAATATTTACTTATAGATGTATTGATTAAACATGAATTCTCATTTATAAATGTTGAAACTTTATCTGTACTACCATGTTTTATGCAAATAAAGATTTAAATAAAATAAATAAATAAGAAATTTAAAGTCCTGACCTAAATATACAAATGAATAATTTATTATGCAATAATAATTGTAAAACTGACTGGGAATGCCTACCAATGGGACATTTAGTCCAACCTTAATCCCTTTTATAAAGGTTTTATAAACATTAATGTGTAAATAAATTAAGAAATAAATGTAATAATTATGATAAATTCTACTTAATTGTCATAAATAATGTAATAAAGATGTTTTTGCCAATAGATAAGTATTACCTATCTAAGTATAGTTTAGGAATTGTACCTTATTATTTATACCATGAAAATATATTAAATACAAGGCAAATAATATATATATATACTCCCTTCTAATCCGATTCTAACGAGCAGCACCCAAGAATTTCGGCCATGCAAAAGTATAAATCAAGTTTACAAATGCACATTTTTGAGAAATTCTAAAGCTACTCAAACCAAGCATTACAACGAATGCTCTAGAAAGAAGACAAAAATTTTGTTAAATTTGTTGTTTATTAATGTGATCAAAAATTAATAAATAATCGTTTGTTTATTTTAATTTTATTGAATTGTATTTAATATATAATTGTATTTTTATTTCTTTTACTTAATGTAACTTTGTTAATATTTCTAAATGTTGTGTAAGTACACAAAATTTAGTTCTTTTTCCTTTTTAAATTTCAATATATTTTCATTTAAATAGAATATATATCTCTACTGTCTATCAAAAGTCCACTGTTGAACATAAACATGATTATAGTTATTTGGCATAGTTTCAACGCTTGGAAAGCGGGTTGTCAACCACTGTTTTTTTTATTTAGTTTTTATCAGGACAGGAGGTAAATTAAGATAGAATATTATAAAACATTCGTTTTTATTTTATATACCAACATATTACAAAAACAAACCCTTTGTTGACGCTTTACAACGTATATTAACTAAAAGATTTTACCACCTTAACCATTAGGTAACATGATTAAGCCACCTAACCATAAGTAAGTCACCTAAAAAGGCCTTCCATAGATATCCTCATAGGATGACTTTTGCCATAGTTGCCACGCCTGCGTGAAAATATGTGTTATGCTGGTTGGCTACCGCAGTTTTTTATTATTTTAAGTTTTCATCGGGAAAGTGCTGCTGCCCCATCCCCATCTTGTATTATTGCTTACGACGCGGGGTAATATCATCCCGTGTACAGACAAATTCTCTTGTACGCCAATACTTGCTGCACACAAGACACTAACTTAGCAAAACATGCAGTAAATCGCGGGAGTAGGCTCAATAACCGTGTTTTGTACTACAAAACCTAAGTGGAAACCCTTTCCTTTTGAAGGTCTGTATTCAGCACTGAATTTGTGATGGAATGGTATGTTAAAACAGTATTGATTTTTTTTTTGTAAAAACAACAAAACTCGACGAAGTAAATTTTTGTTTATTATTTAATATTTTTATTCTCAATTAATATTTATTAGCGATATCACACTTTGTGCTATTAGCGCCTTCACTTAGTGGCGTCGAAATCCAGAGTTATTGAATGTCTAGTAAAATCGTCGATGCGCCGTTGAATACAGAATGATGATTCTGTTTTTACGCCGTTTCCGCCCGTAGTTTTTAGTCACAGAATGTATTTTCAAGAGAAATTAATTAATCATCTGAATTATAAAAGAACATTTTTTTATGGTAACAATTAAGTTTTTTGTATGAATGTAAGTGCTGTGAATATAAATAAACCCATAACGAGGGAAATGGAACAATATCTGGTAACCCAGTGAAAGTACCTCCCGCCTATTTCTATCTCAAAAGCATACGCGAATGCTTTATCTAGTCAATTCTCTATCTACGAACGTGAACGTGATAGTTATACATAACGCTCATAACTATCTATTTCTTTTTTTTTTTGGAGTTTATGGCCTGGCATCTAGACCTTTAGGCCAATCTATATCTTATAACGATACGCAACGCACAGAGTACCTTTGAACCGCAACGCTGCAACGTTGTGTTGGCTTGGAATCATGATTTCACGCACTCGCTGCCGTACAAAAACAAATATTATGCCGTGTACGATAAGAACGAAACTGCAGCAGGGCTCATATTGAAACGTGTAGGTGAGCGAAGCGAAATTCGAGAAATAAGTTTATTTCTTTCATTTTCATATAGATACTTGTATAACTATCTCAAATTGTCAATGTGTCTTTTTTAATAAAGCAATTTTAAACCTCGTGCTGTTTATTATAAAATTCTACACAGTAAATACGGGTTTTGCCATATATTGAAAAATAACACTTGTGCCCCAAAATGTAAGGATTAAACTGCATTAATAGCTTTGACCTTGTTAAGACGAAATATTATTACTGATCTTCTGTCCTTCAACTTTTGAACTTGAGTTTTCATATTAGGTAATTAGATCTCTGAGGAACAATGCAATAATAAATTTTGGGTGTAATATTATTATTTAAAAACTTTGCATTATTTGCTAATTCCAAGTTGATTTCAAAGCATAAAGCACGCATAGTGATATTAGTGTTCATAAAAAAAGTCTAAAAACGAACAATAAGCTTTGTAAATATTTATTTGATTTCGTGATTGTAAATAAAGATATTGCTTCGTTTTAGGTTATAATATAACAAAGAAACAATGTCGCGACAAAACACTGTGTTTTGTGCGAGTTTTTCGAAAAAAAAAAAACTGATAATTTAAATAAAAAAGCGCGTTGTAATATTTGTAAAAACGAATTTAGTTTTCAGACGACTTCAGGTTATCTGAAGTTACATTTACGGCAGCGATATATAGAAGCGTGCACACAAGTTTCGTTAGAACAGCAAACGATTGCTAGATCTTCGAGACCTGTGAACACTTTGGGTGTCCTTGCGTCAGCACTAACTTAAAAGACAACTTTTTGAGCCAGCCTTCGATGTCAAATCCAACCTCCGTGATGCGAACAGCTGTACTGTAACGCAGTCTCAACACAAATGAGGGAAAATGGATGCCTTAATTACTAGAAAGTTGTCAAAAGATCAAAAGTACGAAGGAAAATTCATTTCAGCAACTAAATTAGTATTCACTTAGTGAAACGAAAATAATTTTGAAGATAACTGTTCTATGACGGTATATTGTTAAGTTGCGGTTACATGGAAAATGGACAGTTATGAATATAGATGGTTATGATAACGTTATCCGTTGTACCATAACGATAACGTTACGTTATTTAGAAAAGACATAACGATTGATCATAGATATGTAGCATTGCTCCTCTTTCGGCTTGTTAATTCTCATCTGTGAATGCTCACTAGCAGTCATCAGCGGCTTCGTTCACGCACCCACCATAATTATTTTTCTCGTGGGAATGAGTAACTTTTCTGAGGTAAAAAGTACCTATGTCAATGTTCTTTTCTAAACTTCAATTTATATCTGCATACCAAAATTTATCCAAATTGATTCATTGGTTTAATCGAAAAAAGATAGCAGTCAGAGAAACAGAAAGACTTTCGAATTTTCAACATTAGCAATGTTATTACACCTATTTAAATGTTTTTATTTTTTACCGTACAGAATGGCTGACGGTACATCACGCTTGTCGGGTCACCAATATAAAAAAAACTAAGACTTGAAAACGATGCAGAGCGACAAAATCAAGCAGGGGCATTAGAGTCCTTTTTGAAAAAAGGTGAACTTAACAAAGCATCGTCACCCATACCAGAAACCGATGCTATAGCTGAGATTCCGCTTAAACCTCGAGAGGAAAATACGTCCGATTCCAATATAATCTGTGATCCTGGTGCTTCTATTTCTGGGTCAAGCACTATTGCACGTGAAGGCGCTATTACAGGTGAAACTGCTATTGCAGGTGAAGGTGCTATTGCAGGTGAAGCTGCTATTGTAGGTGAAGGTGTTATTGTAACTCCAAGTGTTTCTACAGAACCAACATCTATTTTAGATGTCCACCCAGTCACGTGGCCCAATAGATTAACAGATGCAGAAAGAATATATTTGGTAAATAGAGGTTCTTCAGACCCATTGTATTAATTTGAATTTCCACAAGATATCAATGGTCGGAGGTTTACTTCGAGATACTATAACAAGAAGAAATTTTGAGAGATTGGCTTGTATATTCTGTGGCAAAAAATTCGTTGTATTGCTTTTGCTGTAAAATCATCAATACAACTACAACTTCCGGTCTATCTGAAGATGGCTACAAAAATTGAAAGCATGTAGGTGATAAGCTTAAATCTCATGAGACATCACGAAACCATATAGAAGCTGTAAAATCTTGGGTACAACTTTTACGTAGGCTCAAATCGTGTCGTACGATAGATGCCGAGTCACAGAGAATAATTTAATCAGAAATAGAACACTGGAATAGAGTATTGTAACGAATTGCCACAATCATCAAAATGTTTGCTCCCAATGGCTTGGCTTTTCAATGTGGGTATTTAATAATCAATTATAGCAAGCTAATATTGATTATTAAATACCCACAGATCATAAACAATTTTTAAGGGACATTTTCGGCTTGGATGTTTGTTCTTTAAGCGATCACAAGCATTATTTTAACTGGCTTTACGGCTCTGGGCTCTAGTCTTTCTGAGCCTGAAGTACAATGTATATTTATTTATCATTAAAAATCATTTCCTATATAACATTGTAGTCTTTGTTAAAATTTTAGATGTCTTGTCACATACGATAAATAGATTCATCAAAAATTCACATTCACACTGATCCACAGAGTTTGTTTACGTTTGCACTATTGATTAATATCACGTTGTTTTCATTTTTAAATATCTTGAATACCAGAAATAAAGGACTATAATGGTCGGAAGAATTTTTCATCAGCTAATAGACTTTGAAGAGTATCAGACTCTTTATCATTGTTAATATATTGAATGAGGAGTACCTAATCACTTCAAACCAAATTGACAACATTGAAAAACTAGTTTATTAGTTTTAGCACCTAATTTTTAAACTTTGCACCTAATTAGCACCTAAAAAGCCCCTAATTTGGGCTTTTTCTAAAAGCATTTTTGATTTTTTTCTGATTTTCAATAAACCTGAATTTTGCATCTGCTTTGTTCTGAATAACGACTTTATTTTTATTAGTGGCGCCTTGTTATTGCGTATACTTACAGCACCTAATTAGCACTTAATTCTTTGCTATTAATATTTATTGTATATCTAATAACTTCATTGGGTTGCTAGCGAGACGTTTTGCTAGCAACGCAAATTTCATCAGTTCGTTGCGGTGAAAATTTTAGAGCACCTAATTTTTAAACTTGGCATCTAATTAGCACCTAAAAAGCCCCTAATTTTGGATTATTCCAAATGCAAATTCCCGACTTTCCGTTGCTAGCGATACACAACTAAGTAGATTGCATAACATTCAGCTGTAAAAATAGAGCATAAATTGTGAATTTTAAAAGTTTTAGATATTTTCTTTTGCGAACCATAAAATGCGGAAGTTGTGTACTCTACAGATTTTGATCCATCTGTATAAATTGTATAAAAATCATTATCAGCTAGATATCTTAACATTTCCATTTGAGAATTCACTTTTTCTTGACATACAGAAACATTAATGTTCACTAAAGCATCATATTCTGTTTTATATAAAGGCCATTGTTTACTTTGATACTCATTTTTGGTTTGGGTCTGTGAGTATAAAACAAGGAAGTATTTTTTTTGAACTAAATCATTTTTTGAACTGATTAATTTAACACAAAACTGTTCAGTAATTTGTAGCCTTCTTAGTAAAAGTGGAGGAATACAATTCCATTACATGGATTGGTGTAGAGCACATAGCACCAGTTATTATACGCAATGCTTTATTCTGAATTATATCTAATCTTTTTAAAATTAATTTATTTGCATTTAAGTATGCTAATGTGCTGTAATCAAAATGAATTTGAACTATACTTTTATAAAGCATTGATAACAACTTGAGGTCAGCTCCCCAACGCACACCTGCTAATGACTTTAACACATTGAGACTCCTACACCACGGAATATATTTCCATGTCCTACACGTTTTTTTACATAGATTATTTACATGTTCTTGGAAAGTTAACTTCTGGTCAAGCAATATACCTAAAAATGTTTTTCTGTAACCAAGGCAATGGTATGTTCTTAAATTTTACAAAATTATCACATGTATAATTTTTTTGGAGAAAATGAGGGCTCCACTTTTACTAGGACTAATGTTTAATTTCAACTTATTTGAATAAAAATCAGGAATTTGTTCTAATGCTAAATTTTAATTGTTTACTGCTATATTTACATCTTTGATAAGATGGATGAAGTATGCGAAATGATGAATGATAGAGGAATAGATGTGTTATGTGTAAACGAGACGAAACGAAAGGGAAGAGATGTCACTGCACATGGCATGTATACCACTTACTGGTCTGGAGTAGACGAGACCGAGAGGGCATGCCAGGGAGTCGGTGTCATCCTTTCAGAAAGAATGGGTCAATGTGTGAAAGCAATGTGTTAGCCCAAGGCTGCTATGGATACGAATGAAAGTGGGCTTAAAGAAGTTGTTTGTGCTAGGGGAGTACGCGCCAGATATGTCTAAGCCCATTTATATCCGAGAGCAGTTTTGGGACATGGTAAGGCTGGTGTTGATGAAATGTAAGGAAAATGAAAATATTATTATGTTAGGAGATTTTAATGGAAGGGTTGTGGTGAAGAGGTCTGGGTATGAAAGGATATTAGAAACGTTTGGCGATGAAAGAATAAATGAGAATGGTGAAGACCTCCTCACCGTATGTGTGGAAAATAATCTTTTTGTGGCGAAAACTTTCTTTCGCCATAAGAGGATTCACATGTATACATGGGAAAGAGGGGATGATAGAAGCATGATAGATTTTATAATTGTGGATGAAAGAATGAGGAGCGCAGTGGTAGATACAAGGGTTTACCGGGGGTCCAACGTAGGGACGGATCATTACTTGGTCTTATGCCGAATTAATGGTCTATTCAGACGTAGGCGGCATCGGACATCTGTGTCTACCACTGCGTTACAGCGTATAAGAATAGAGAGGTTACAAGATGAAGGTGTGAAAGAGAAATATAAATGCAGACTGAGGGAAAATATAAGTGGGTTGAATGAATTATGTATGAATGATTTAGAATTGAAGAATGTATGGAATAATATTAAGAAAGTTTTGGTGGATGCAGCCACCGAAGTATGTGGTGTAAGTAAGAGAACGAATGAAAGAAAAGAAATACGTCATGGTGGGATGATGAGGTACGGATGGAAGTTGAAGCAAAGAAGAGAGCATGGCTAGATTTACTAGCAACTAAAGCTGGTAATTCTGGCGGTATGTATGATGAGATTGAAAGAAAAAAGGCAGACTTTAGACGTATAAATAAGAGAGTAAAAGAAGTTGTTGAAATGAAAAGCAAGAAAGGATAGATAAAAATGATAGGAGGATATCTGATAACTTCCAGGAAAATATTAAAATGTTCTGGAAGCTCGTAAGAACTGCCAGGGGAAATTCAAAACAGCCTAGAATGAATGCTATACGAGACGAGAATGGCTGCATGCTGAATGATGAAGTTTCGAATTTAAAGAGATGGAAGGAATACTTTGAAGCGTGTTTAAGAGTCAAGAGTCGTCTGAAATAAGTGAAATAGAAATTCCGGAAGAAGTGGAGAGAGGTAGGGAGATAACTGTAGATGAAATAATGAAAGCAATGAAAAGCATGAAAGCAGGTAAGGCAGCCGGATATGATAGAGTATCACTCGAAATGCTAAGGGCTGGTGAGGGTGTGGTTGCAGGCCTGCTGTACACCTTGTTTAATTTATGTTGGGAACTGAAGCGGGTACCGGAAGACTGGTGCAAAGCCGTTATAGTCCCAATATATAAGGGAAAGGGGTCGCAGCAGGACTGTAAAAACTACCGTGGTATCAGCTTGCTTAGCATTGTGGGTAAACTGTATGCTAAGGTGTTAATTGAAAGAGTTATGAAAGAAACTGATGGAAAAATTTGGGATGTGCAAGCTGGATTTAGAAAGGGGATGGGGTGTACGGATCAAGTCTTTTCCATGCGCATGATAGCGGAGAAGTTTTTGGCTAAAAACCAGAAAGATTTTTGTGCGTTCATGGACTTGGAAAAGGCTTATGACCGAGTAGACAGGAATGTGTTATGGCAGACACTGAACTCATTTGGGTTGAGCGCTGGCTTGATACAGGCATTAAGGTCTCTTTATAGGCACTCTAGTGCTTGTGTCAGGATCAACGGGGTCTACTCGGACTGGTTTGGCATTCATAAAGGTGTCAGACAGGGATGTGTGGCTTCCCCGTGGCTGTTTAACCTATTTATGGACAGTTGTTTGCAAACTTTGAAAGTTGAAGAATGTGGGTTGAGAATGGGTGAGTCAACCGTCAAATGCCTTTTGTACGCCGATGATCAAGTCATATTTGCATCGTCGGCGGCCGATTTGCAAATGATGGTTACTTTAATGAATTGGTCATTGAAAGAAAGGGGTATGAAAGTGAACGCAAGTAAGACGAAAGTGATGGTTTTTGAAAGAGAAGAAAGTAAAACTTTATGTGTAATAAGAATAGAAGGGGAGTTGATTGAGCAAGTGGATGAGTTTGTATATTTGGGATGTTTATTTAGCAGGGATGGTAGATATGATAAGGATATAGAACGACGAGTGAATGCAGGAAATAGAGTGAATGGGGCTCTACACGCTATTATGAGGAGTCAAAATGTGTCAACTAAGGCACGTATGGCAATTCATAATGCTGTGTTAGTCCCTACTTTAATGTATGGTAGTGAAAGTTGGGTCTGGCAGAAGAAGCATGAGAGTAGAATAAATGCTGTAGAAATGCGTTCCTTAAGGAGTATGCTAGGGCTGAATCTGAATGACAGGGTAAAAATAGTGTGATAAGAGAAAAGTGTGGTTTGCAAGATGACGTTGTGACAAGGATTAAGAAAGGAATGCTTCGGTGGTTTGGTCATGTAGA